TTTGAAATAATAAAACAAACGTTAGTAACTAATCATATTGAACAAAACTGAATGATTCTCTATTGACCTAGCAACTATAATATGATTATTGATTTTATTAATATATTTAAATTATATCTTATTATTTATTTCATCAATTTAATATTGATTACATTTCAAATGAATTATGTAGTAAAATCAATAAATATTGATTATATTAACAATACTACTATGAATACTACTTATAATGTATATAGTAGGAATAGTAGTAGTAGTAATAATAATGAATCATTTTTAGAATATCAAATTCAATTTCATTCAAGTGATAATGCACCAGTGATTCTATCAATTGGAAATATTTTTACTGCTAATTGCACTGAACAGAAATATCTCCATGACCACGACGAGGACGACGACGACGACCACCACCACCACCACCACCAACAGCAACATCAACAACGAACACCACAACAACAACAATCACATAGTAACACATTTATTCGTTCCATGTTAATTCCAGATACATATTTTCGATGAACTGTACAAGGTGATTTATATACCCGTCAAGAAATTGATTGTGATTTCATTTGTTATCAATCGACAACAACAACAACAACAATAATTAAACATCTATGGATGTTTATGAATTATTTATACCAGAATCTGCTTCAATTGGTCATTGTTATACATTACCTATGGCATTAGATATCGATTCACGTTGTTATGGTACGAAACATAATCGATTACAATTAATCAATAATCCATTAATCAATCATACAATGAATAATAATTTGAATCAAATAAAATCTAATTTACACTTACCATTTAGTTTAATTAATCCAAATCAATCTATTCACATCACGGATCACCACAATTACAATGGAATGGATTTATTAGATCGTGAAAACAGATCTATCTATCTATTATCATTATAATCAATTAAAATTGTTGAAGATTATGGTATACCCTACTTACAATCTATTCTGATATTATTGATTAAAATTATTGATATTATTGATGATCATCCATCATTGTTTATCAATGTTACCATAGATACACAAACTTCTATTATCAATAATGATCATTATAATATTTATATTATGGAAAACATCTAACAATTCGTATAAAGATTTATCATTTCTATATGGAAGATTTAGATGAAGGTGATTGATTGATTGATTGGAAACCAATATATAGTTATTTTAATCAATCAATCACTCAATCAGTCAATCAATCAATAAATCGATTATTCAATTAGTATTATGGAAATATTCGTTAAATCCATTCAATGATGAATGAATGATATCGAATCATTTAGATTATAAAAATCAATATGAACGTGAAATTATCTTAATAATTCAAGCTATTGATAATGGAATGCCAAAATTAACATCAAGTTTAACCTATACAATTCATTTCATTGATATTAATGATAATGAACCAGAAATGGATATCATCCCTATAAAAACTACTGAAATCCACAATCATAGTAGTAGTAGTACTAATAATCAATATCTAGGGAATATCAGTTGTTATCCATTATTTGATGAAAATGATCCAACCCCACCACCACTATCAAAGAGAAAGATGATTGTTCCATGAATAAGTTCCAATGTCAACTCATGGATCAAGAAGAAAATCTTGGCAATACTTATTTCATTTCTTATTGAAATTATGTTTATGGTTTATTGAATCCACATGAATCGGGTTGTGAATTAGATACAAATCATAATAATCATGGAGAAATATTAGCTGGTATACAATGTGAAGAGCAAACTGAACCGTCAAAACCGATTCATAAATGGTTGAATATTAAATTAGAAAATTTCAATGATAATTAGCCACAATTTAATCAAAACAATAATGAGTTTCAAATTTATGAAAATATATACCAATCCATACAAGGATTGGACAAATTGTTGCTATGGATGTGGATTCTGGTATCTATAGACAATTAACAGATGAATGAATATCAGATAATATACAATGACTGAATTTTCATTAAAATTGATTCTAATAGTGGAATGATCTATATAGAGAATTTATAAATATTCTTCATGTTTTTGTAACTGTATCAGATTGTGGTGGTGGCGACTTTGGTGGTGGTGGAGATAGCAACATCACTATTCGAACACAACATTTCAAATCAACTACAAAAAAACAGATACAACCAGTGTAAACATTCTTATTTACTTGATAGAACTGATAATTCACCTCAATATATATTGATCCTTTAGAAATACATATTGAAGAGAATTTATCAAAAGGTCTAATTATATAGTAAATCAATTACAATTTATTGATCCAGATTTACGAGAGAATTCAACAATCAGTATCAAATGAATTGATCAATCATATTTTTATTTATCGAGAATGTCTAATGAATTGAATAGTAACCATGGTAATGAAATGAATACTAATCCTAATACTTTCCATTGATAATGAATCAAGATGGTTTGTATCTGGTTTATTAGATCGTGAAACTCAATCACAATTTCTATTAAAATTGATCGCTTATGATCATGGTCAATCAGTTAGTCATACATGATAATCAACCAGAATTATTATATCCAATCAATGGTAGTCTTCTGTTTGGGATGTATGATAAATGGAATTGATTTCATAATAATAAACAATCAATAACAACAACAACTATACCAGCTAATATACCATATGGTACATTCATAGCTACTATACGTGGTCATTTAAAAATCAATGAAAGAAACCCACAATATCATAGAGATAACCATATAGATGTCTTGGATATTCATGAAGGATTTTTCTATTTTACTATTCATGAACATAGAGGTCAATTAACAACATATTAGAATAATCATATCAAACAACCAATCATGAAATCGTCGATCGATAATCAATCAATCAATGTGAGTGATTCACAGTTCATGAATAAACAGTTCCCATCAAAACGTCCACCGATACCTGGTTTATATTTAATATCGAGTCATTTACTTGATACAAGGAAACCACAATATGCAACTGAAGTTCTGTTTTATGTTAATATTGGTGAATCGATTGACGATCAGTTGGGTTTCTGGACATTATATAATTCTCATATAAGTAATCAAATAATATTGATTTTAATTATGATATGTAGTTTAATATTAATGATTAGTTGAATAGCTGCTATATGATGGGTACGTTTTAGATCAGATCATCAATTATTAAGATGTAGATCCAATACATCCTATAATGAGTATAAACCATGTATAATCATCCTAACAGAAACACATCATTCAATGAATTTATCACCTATTAATGATATAAGATATAAGAAATCTTTAATGAATTGAAATCAGACATCAGTTTTACCTTCAAATATATTAACATCACAGAAAAACTGGAATATTCCAGAAGAATATCCTTCATCAAGAGGACTATATTATGATGATCCATTAATAACAGAAATATTTCTAACGAATATAGATAAGAAATTATCTAACTATATACAACCTTATTATTATAATGATCAGAATATGAATCAATTATCTTCAATACATGTATATCATTTACATGTGAATGAACACAATACAACATTGAATAGAACTGAATGGAAATCCACAACAGTGAATCAATACCATTTTTATTATGAAACTTCATTGATCTATAAACATTCTAATGAGCATATTCCAATTATGATACAGATGCATTCATTCACTCATAAAATAGAGTTATACAGCAGAGATGTACAGTTATTAAGTGATATGAATAATCAATATCATAATAGTAGTAGTATATGTGGTAGCGATAGTGATGTAGATAGTGGAACAGGAATCATTATAACCTCTGATACATATTTACCTATATCATCATATGAACAACCTGTTACTAGTAATATGGTTCATGAAAATCTGGAACAATTACATTACATTTGGAATTTTCACCTAGAAACAACACTGCACACATTTAATGGAATCGATTAAACAAGAGGAATATGAAGGAAAAATGAAAGAAAAAAACTACATCAACCATTTCAAAATGAATCATTTCCCAGTGTCATCTATTTCTGATAAGTAAAATGAATAAACTTATTTTTTATTTATGCCTGTTACTCCTCGTGGAGGAGCATAATCTTCCTACTAGTACACTCCATCCAACCCTATACTGGGTGATTCTTTTCATGTCTGCTTCCGATTCTCAACTCAGTGTGTTCTTTGACCTTTCTCTATTTTGCTTCCCTTCAGGATTTTAAGTACCGCACAAGCACCAACGAATATACTGTGTTTGAAATTTGAAATCAAGCATTGAACAAGTACAAAGGGATCATTAGTTCATTCAAACACCACAATTTCCTATCCATTTCCGACGTCTATTTCCTAATTTCCTCTTCAGTGGATAACTAGTTTGTTCTCTCTTACCTATTATAATCTATATTAAATGATTATTAAATTTAGTAGTTACAATTGTAATGTTGTAAGCTGATCAATAATATGATCCCTGATGATTGATTGTAGGAAAATTGATTGATAACGGAAATAGTTCTTTATTTATTGGCTTAGTATGATGATATCAAGTACATTAGGAATGTGGTGATAAGAATTAAGAAGCTTTAACTGATAGAGTTCAATCTTTGTCGAGTCCGATATAGTTATCTACCTCAGCTAAAGGAAGAAAGGTTGCACAAGATCATGGATCGATTGAAGCTAGACATTAGCATTGTTGGATGCCGACTCAGTGGTCAATAGATAAAGCATTCGCATTCCAGATTAGAGGTCATGTGTTCGAGTGTCTTTGGAGCAGGATCGTGTATGCACACTGCTGAGGAATCTCATACTAGGACAAAACAACCGTCCAGTGCTTCCAGGTTTTCAATAGTGATCCATCTTAGATTGACTCATAAATTCAACTATTAAAATAATCATAACAATTCATACATGATATTCATAATCATAAAGGTCTATAAACATCTGATAAGTGAGTTACGTCAGTTATTAATCGAATGTAAATAAATAACAGCTAAATTCACTTGGTATTGTTTGTTTGAATCGTCCCATTGATGCTTAGCACTAAAAATGATCAGTCACTTATTGGCATGTATGTATATTGTGCGTATTGCCTCTATATAGCCTTAATTCAAAAGCCGCTATCAATCTCTGCATATAATTCTCGTGAATCAAGTCTATATCGAAGCATTCCACACAAGATGCACATATGCCAATAAGAGGCTGATCAATTGTAGTTCTAAACATCAATAGGAAGAAACAAATCAACAACATCAATTGAATTTTTACTTCACCGCATTGCACAAGCAAATGGCTATCAGGCCTCAGCAGCAAATCACATTAATGCAGTGCGCGCTACTTATAAGGACAGACATAAGTAATATGTGATAAGAATTTTATGGGATGAATCATAAAAATACACAAATGATGACTTTTATATAATTCATCAAAATATTTAAATAGTTTACAGTACTTGTGTTTTGGTTCACTACAGTGATGGTAGTAGCTGTATTAATCAGTATTTAATGAAGGCAGATTACTTTTAAGAAAATAAGTAAACTTGTTAAAATTAAAGAAAGTAATTAATCTACCGGTCGGAATGGTGAATGCGCACTGCTGAAGAGTCCCACTATAGGACGAAATGGCCATCCAGTGCTTCCAGGTTTTCAATGGTGATCTAATTTAGATCGACTCATGAATTCAACTACAAGTTCCCATAATGATAACACATATTTGATCTCAAATAATCCATCAATATGAACATAGATTCGAATATTAATCTGATCTAAACACCATAATATTAGCAACTATTATTCTATCTTTCTGTAAGTAGGAATGGTAAGAAGAAAAAATGAACGATCTATGTGCCATAAAATGATAACAATATATCGATATTAAGTAAAGATATGATTTGATAAATGGTGGAATATTTCTCAACATTCAGTTTTTTATCATGGCTGTGTTTAACATATGATGAGACTATTAGGATATGTGACAACTCCGCCTGGGGCCCCTCTGGAGTTACTGCCAGTTCCAAGCTCTGATAGAGGAGGATGGTTGGGCATTAGGTTAGCGACCATATCCCGTAGAAAGCTAACTAGCTAAACAAAGCTAACCCGAAAAATAATTCGAACCATTTAAACTCTACCCTGGGAGTCAGAAGACCTTCATTTAGAAGAGTTATTTCGCGTCATGATGAAAGCCGAGTTCCTTCGAAAGCCACAAGGCTGATGCTCCTTCTGACAACCAGAGAAACCATTAATTTAGGTACATGGAATGCTTGGACAATGTGGGAGATCGGGAGAGTCTTCCAAATTGCTGCAGAATATGTGAGTGAATTGGAATGATTGTATTCTGCTGGGATGTGATTTCGCTTTTAATTAGCAAATTTAAGTATTATACACAGTAGAACATCAGATTCTCTCTTAAAGTCATCAATAGAACCACTGTTAATATTTTTATAAGTACTAAACAAATCGTTAATTATTTAAAAAGTGACAGTTTAGGGTTGCGGATATTATTGATTTTTGATTGAGATCGTGAATGAATCAATGTTACACAAACAATGAAGTCCTGGAAGCATTGAACAGCCGTTTCGTGCTAGTATGGGACTGCTTAACAATGCGTATTCACGATTTCGCACGTGAATGTTTAACCTCTTGACTACTGAGTCGACATCCGACGGTGTCTAACTACAATCAATCCACGATAGTGTGTGACCGTTCCCCATCGCGTTCAGTGAATAACTGCCTCAAACCAGATACGGTTGAACTCCACTGGTCACGACTCTTCACTAGAACTCCATGAAATCCATCTTGAAATTAGTCACTAGTGGGAACATGATAATTATCAGTGTAGAGTTAATTATATACAACTGTATACTATAATTCAATTTAAACGCTTAATTTTTAGGTTACGAAATACAAGCTCTGACTTTCTGAAATATAATTTCATTTGTTGAACCAGTCTTCCTGCAACTCTCTGCTCAAGCGATTCCGACATCAACACCATACATAATGCAATACATGTATCATCAATTGCAGACTAGTTGATATGTGGCTTGTTGAAATCTTATGATTTCATAATTATAGGAACGCTGAATATAATAATTAAACTTGGTCAGACTATAATTTTTTGACGACCTTTGAGCGACGCTACACTGACCATGAGAGTGTCTGCCTAATAATTAGGACCAAATGGGGATTATAAATCATTGTAAAGAATAAGAAGTATGATTTACAGTTAATGGTTGAGGATAGGGATTAGATTTGGGGTTCTCATCACGAACTGACATCAGTTATAGTGTCAAAATTCTATATAAAAAAATGGATGAGTGGATTTCGCGCCAAAATCCGAGACCTATTACCTCATACCTGATTGGTTCGTCCACAAATTGAAGTCTCGCCCTAAACTTTAATCAGAATCGATAATATATGAAACGAAAGACGACATTAGGAAAAAGATCCTCTCTGTGTTCTGAATAGTAGTGTGGGTAACAGGTAAATAAATTATGTGGGTTATAGATCTTTTTATATATATTAACTGGATTAACAAATTAATTAATAAATATCAGCTAAAAACATAACATGACATAATTCACTTCGATCTGCGGTGATGTTCGCCATGGTAATTTATCATGTAATTTACTCACCAATCAGAACACAACTTATATAATCTTAACACTGTGCCACAACAATGATGTTTTGGCCAGTACGAGAAGCCTAGGGCACTTTGTTGTTCCTTTTTGCCTAGCCCTGCCTGTTGAGTCCAAATCATAGCTTCCATTATGGGAATTATATATGTCAGACATACTAGGTTTGTATATAACCAAACCAGACCAGATCATACCATACATTAGGAAACAACAATAATACAAGATCGGGTCAAAAGTGACTGTGAGTGTGAGATAGTGTGACTAATCAATTGAGAATAACTTGAGAACAGTAAGATGGAAGTAGAAAACAAGGCCCAGTTGAGAGTGGGTTGGAGAATACTGGTCGGTGGCCTATGCTCCATTAGGAGTAACAGGCGTAAGTCAGTAAGTAAGAACAGTAAATCGTATAACAGTAACCAATAGATCGAATGAAAGCTTATAATAAGAAGAATACGAATGCACATGTAATGCAGTTACTTTATAGTTATACAATAAGAACATATATATGATATTAGTTCATCAGTAGCTCTCAGCAATTACTCATACATTAGTCTTCACTAAGATATAGCACTGTCTTTTGCTTGTATTACACAATAGATGCAAAAGTGTTTAAACCTTACATCATTCATTAAGTTACGTTGATTCAAACGCATTTATCAACAAATAGTAAGAAAAAAACACTCTAGCGTTTGTAAATAAGCTTATCTAAGATTATTTTCATCAGTGAAAAAGTTTGCTTCAACTAGAGCTACTTCTCCCTCCTATAGACAAAAATACAGTTCTGGAACAGGATAGGAAGACTTTCATATGCATCTTAAGATAATTAAGCGAAATGGAACTGAGGTAAAAAATCCTAAGACGAGATGTTAATTGTTGCTAAGGTAGTCATGAGACTGCATTGGTATTTATTCGGTTCAAAATTTTAGATTTTAACTGATCACCTATCGTTAGAGTTTATGCATTGCCCAATTAAATCATATTGTGGTGTGGGTTACCTATATCCACATAAGTAGTTATAACGGTGGTCAGACATAGATTGAGTTTCAGCAGAAGATCGATAAGAAAAGAACAAAAGCGGGACGCATGTATGAACAATGAAATCTGAGACAATGGACTGATATTTGCAAAAGAAACAGTCAAATTTGAGACGATGGATTGATATTTTGCAAGTTAACTATTTACTTGATGGTTCTCAGATTTTGTAGAGATGCTGTGTAATTTTTGGAACAAATATGTCCGATTGTCCACACTCGTGGTCTTGAGGTGGAATCTAGTACTGGACACTTCTCTATGGTCCAATTCAGACTCTCGTAAAATTGATCTTTAT